TTTCAAGACCAAAGGTGTTAGCCTTAGGCCCATTCATGACTTTGGTGTGATGTACCAGTGTCTATCACAAGCCTACCCTCACTGGGCAATATGCACATTGACATTCCTAATGCAATAAGGTTGACCATATTAGCAACCTCCAAGATAAGATCCAAGACATTTGTTCACCGTGCAAGCTTAATGTTAGAATAGCTTGCATCAAACCAACCTGTGGGATAATGGCTAATCTGATTTGATCATTTCTCACAGTATACTGCACAGACTCCCTCTCATTACCCTTCGGGTAAAATGTCTGAGCAGCAGGCACAGCTAGCTGTTTCATGTTGTGATGTTGCAATAGCAACACAAGGGGTGTTTGCCACCCAACAGATTCTGTATCACAACAAAAACACTTTGTGCCTCTCTCACATGTGAGTAAATGTGGTATATGAATTCCAGTGCTGGTATGATATCAGGTATATGAGCCTCTCAGTCCAAAGACTGGTGGATCATATCAAACAGCATATCCCGCAACTCATCCCGCAACTCATCCCTCACACCCCGTCCCCGCAATAACAACCAAAAAAGAATCCTCCTCGCCTTCCCACCAACCTCCGGATCCACGCACCATCCTCCGACACTTCCGCCATCTGCCATCCGATCCCACCACCAAAGACATCTTTCCCTCCCCACCCTTATCTGCTTTCCGGAGGGACCACTCTCTCCGTGACTCCCTTGTCCACTCCACACTCCCCTCCAGCCCCACCACACCTGGCACTTTTCCCTGCAACCGCAGGAAGTGCTACACCTGCCCCCACACCTCCTCTCTCACCCCCATCCCAGGCCCCAAGAAGACTTTCCACATCAAGCAGATGTTCACCTGCACATCTGCTAATGTGGTATACTGCATCCGCTGTATCCGTTGTGGCCTCCTCTACATTGGGAAAACTAAGCAGAGGCTTGGGGACCGCTTTGCAGAACACCTATGCTCGGTTTGCAATAAACAACTGCACCTCCCAGTCACGAACCATTTCAACTCCCCCTCCCATTCCTCAGACGACATGTCCATCCTGGGCCTCCTGAAGTGCCACAACGATGCCACCCGAAGGTTGCAGGAACAGCAACTCATATTCCGCTTGGGAACCCTGCAGCCCAATGGTATCAATGTGGATTTCACAAGCTTCAAAATCTCCCCTCCCCCTACTGCATCCCAAAATCAGCCCAGCTCGTCCCTGCCTCCCTAACCTGTTCTTCCTCCCACCTATCCCTTCCTCCCACCTCAAGCCGCACCCCCACTTCCTACCTACTAACCTCATCCCGCCCCCTTGACCTGTCCGTCCTCCCTGGACTGACCTATCTCCTCCCTACCTCCCCACCTACACTCACTTTACTGGCTCCATCCCCACCTCTTTGACCTGTCTGTTTCCTCTCCACCTATCTTCTCCTCTATCCATCTTCTATCTGCCTCCCCCTCTCTCCCTATTTATTTCAGAACCCCTTTCCTCTCCCCCATTTCTGATGAAGGGTCTAGGCCCAAAACATCAGCCTTCCTGCTCCTATGATGCTGCTTGGCCTGCTGTATTCATCCAGCTCTACACCTTGTTATCTCAGCATATCCCTTTAGCTGTTCACAACAAGCATGGTACTTACTTTATTCAACCAATCCATGCTCACAAAACTCAACGCAAGTATCCAAAATTAGATGTGATTCGATGATTGGGCAATATTTGCTGAGTAGTTCTTTGTGTGCTAAGAATGACCTTGACAACTAAATATTGTCAGTGGGGCTCACAGTGCAATATATTTAAGGGGAAGGTGATGGTCTCGTGATATTGTTGCTAGACTGTTAACCCAGATAATGTTCTGGGGACCTGGGTTCGAATCCTGCCATGGTAGATGGTGAAATTTGAATTCAATAAATATCTGGAATTAAGAGTCTAATGATGACCATGAATCCATTGCTGATTGTCCGGAAAAATACATCTGGGTCACTAATGTCCTTTAGGAAAGGAAACTGCCATCCTTTATTGGTCTGGCCTTCATGTGACTCCAGACCCACAGCAATGTGGTTGACTCTTAACTTCCGTCTGGGCAATTAGGAATGGGCAATATATGCTGCCTGGCCAGCGATGCCCTCATCCCGTGAATGAATAAAAGAAAAACAAATTTGCGCACACTGGAAGCTACATACATTAATACACAGGACACTGCTCATTGCAGACAGAAAGAACGTGTATGCACACTGCATGACTATTTCAACTTAAAACATATTTCTGCCATTCTCTGGTTCATTTCTCAGGACAATGTTTTGATGAATCAAAATTAACCTGCTGCTTTAACATTTGAACAAAACTTGACAATTTACAGGTCAATCGTCATCTATGTGTTGTGTGAATCGATTAGCTCAGTTGGCTGGATGTCTATTTGAGATGAAGACTGATCTCAACACCATGGGTTTAATTCCTGCACCAGCTGAGGTGACCATAAATGATATCCCTTCCCAACCTCTCCCATTATTTGCGGTGTGGTGACTGTCGGGTTAGGTCATCAGCCATCATCTCTCTCCAAAGAGAGGGTGGGACTATGGTGATTTTATTATTACTTCATCTGATACATGACACTTTCTCTACCAATCAGAGTGCACTTGCCAACCAATCCACGCGAGTAGTATGTTTGCATAAAGTATAAAAATATTATCTTCCCATTACAATGGTACTTCTCGCAAATTCCCCAGATAAATGCAAGTTGAAAGGTTTTGATGAAATACATCTTTCATCAATACTCAAGAACAAAATATGTTAACTGATAAATAATTTTCAGAAATGCATAGTGCAACAAGCACTTTATAGAATCAAGCAGAATACAAAGGTGACTCAGGGAGAATGTGCAAACTCCACAGAAATAGTCATCCAGGGGTGAAATCGAACCCAGGTCCCTGGCACTGTGAGGTAGCAGTGCTAACCACTGAGCCACTGTGCATTCTATATGATTATGTCTGATCATCCAACTCACTCTTCTATCCCCATTTTCTCCCCATATTCTTTGATCCCTTTGGCCCTAAGAACCATATCTAACCCCTTTTTGATTGTCCAACAAAATAGTTTGGAAAAAAAATCCTTTTAATTTTTTTATGTATTTCAGTTATTCTACGAAAAGTTTACATCAATTTTAGAATTACCATGAATGATGGATTGTAGCCAGAAACACAGACCAAGCTGATACAAACAAAATCCTCCCACACCCCTACACTGTTTTGTTGGGAATTCAGCTGATCTTAATGGAAGTTTCTGAGAAATTCTGTGCAATTTTAGAGCTTTTGAAAGCTTTCGGCACTTAAAGTGAAGCAAATCCCTTGCTGACTCTGTTCACATGGCTGATGCTGATAATGTTAATGTCCCCATGGATTCAATTCCTTATGTTCATAGAGAACACAGACTCACAATGGAAGGTACAGTCAGAAATATTTTACCCACATAAAATTGCTGCTGTGAAATAACATTTTGTTGGAAATTTCATAATTCTTTCATGTATCTTTAACCATATGACTCTTCCTGAAAATAACAGGGGCCCAGCAGTGGACTACTGGGGAAAGTAATTTGACACCATTGATGTCCCATAAGATCTTAGTGATGACATTTTGAGATGGATCAATAATTTGTCAAGTCTGAACCGAACCAAAGTCATCCTTCATAAATCTGCATCAGCCTAATATCAGTTATTGGACCCTGTGTACAATCTTTAGGCACAAATAGCGATCATAGGTGGTCATTCAGAAACAAAGCTCCAGTTTTTTATTCTTTTTATTTTTGGCAGGCTAAACATCCCAAAACATCTGGCCTGCTGCTGGTTTATTGAGTCCCCCAAACCCCTCACCCCACAGGCCACTTCCTCCAAGGTTCAGGAAGAAAAGGTAAATTGGCAATTGAGACATACAGGCCTGATTGTCTTGTATACTTCAAATGAAGCTCCAGTATAACCAGCATGTTCATTTCCAAGAATAATTGACTTTTAACTGGTGTTTCCCACTGGGTCAGAGCTGACTGATTACTGTCACTACTAGAATGAGCTAGCTGCAGCTTGTGCATCTTAGGTTATAATATGGTTTCAACCTCATACTGGCACCAGTGGTCAACAGAGCAGAACCTTGGTCATTCTCAGGATAGTTCTTAATGGAAGAGGGAAGACACTCTTAACTGTCTCACTGAGTGTTAGTGAACAGTTTGTTGCTGATCCACTGTCACTTGATAGCAACATTGATGGCCCCTCCATCGTTTAACTGATAATCAAGAGAGGACTTATCTAGTTGTAATCAGTCTGCTTAGATCTATCCTGCCTTTCATGAACAGGACATACCTCGGCAATTTTTCACATTGGTAGATAGTTTCCAGTGTTATGGCTGCGCTGGAACAGCTTGACTTAAGATTGGGGCAAGTTTTGGAACAAAAGTCCTCAGTACTGCTCCGAGAATTTTGTGGTGACCCATAGCCTTTGCAGTGTCCGGTGCCTTTAGCCATCTCTTGGAGTGAATCGCATTGGCTGAAGAGTTGCATCTATGATGCTGAGGACCTCGGGAGGAAGCCAAGATGGATTATCCAATGGGGACTTCTGGATGAAGATGGATGCTAATGCTTCAGCCTTTTCTTTTGCACCGCACTGTTATGCTGGACTGCACCATTGTTTAGGATGGGAATGTTTGTGAAGCCTCCTCCTTCCAGCAGTTTTTTTTATATAGCTTAGGTTATTTGTTGTATGATGTGACACTCTGTCCTTCCAATTTGCAATCGGTATTTGCCGATTGGTATACGACCTGCTGTTTCAGTTGTGATTTACTGCTGCTTTACTCAATTTGGGTTAATTAGTGCACATTATGCCTATATTACAAATCAAGCGTGATGCCTGAGGCATGCACTTAAATTTAAATACCTGAGGTATTTAAGACAGCTCCTTGCATGAGACACAAGATGTTCATAACCATACAGTAGCAGTGCTTGTAATTGATAAGAACTTATGCTGTTTTCCAGAAAAAAGAAGCCTTGGCAAAGACTATGAACAATGCTTATGCAATTGGAGGAATGACCTACACCCCCAACATTACGAAGGACTCTGTCATCCCAAGTATTTCAAAGAGTACGGCTGTGCAAATGAGGGCTGAGGAAAGGGCAAGTGAAAGTAAGAAGTCTTACAACAGCGTCAGCAAGATTGACAAAATGGCCCGGGTTGTGTTTCCTGTTCTTTTTGGAATATTTAATTTAGTTTACTGGGCAACATATTTGAACAGAGATCCGGTTATAAAAGTAGACACTGCTCCAAATTAAACATTCAGGAGATTAACTGTACAGTACACTGTACTTTCACCATATTCTTAGGCATCAAAGTTAACAGGGGAAGATTTTAAGATTTTAAGATGTTTTTTCATATTCTTTGCATGTCATAAACAGATTATGTCAGATTTGCTTTGACAATTTCTATATTTAAATGCAAACAAAGGGCACAACAATTTAAGAATGCTGCAATTAAAGAACAATATTGAAGTCAATTTCTTCTGTATGCAGGTTGAAAATAAAGTACTGTAAATAGCTGACAGTGTTATTCTGTGGCTTATTTTGTATTTTATAATGGTCTCTAAAGATACTAGCGGGATGCATCAGCTATGAAACTGCTAATTTTTACCACTGCTTCTAAAAGATGGTTTCTGTTATGAGTTAGATAATTTCAGCGAGACAGCAGTTTTAGTGTTACAATTGGTTTGATGCTTTCAGTGTTACAAAGGAGGTGGCAGGGAGGAAAAAGACAGATTCCTGCTCCTAACTACTACACTGAACAAAAATGTACACTGATTGGACTTTGTTGCAACAAAGAGAAAAGAATGATTGTCGTTTTCAGTATACTTTTCATGATGCCAGCACTCCCCAAAGTGCTTTAAAGCCAATAAAGTACAATTCTTCAATGAAAGCAGAAAATGCTAGAAGTGTTCATCACATTTGGCAGCAGCTATAGGGGGTGAAACAGAAATATACTTTCAGCATTGTCTCCACAGATACTGTCAGACCTGCTGAGCATTTCTGGCTTTTATTTCAGCTTTCCATCATCCATAGTATTTTGCTTTGGTTGAAGTGCATTTGAAGTTTGGCCATATAGGAAATATATCAATTTTCTTTGTTTTGTGCAGGGATGTCCCACAAGGACCAATGAGGTGCCCTGTCTTTAATAATGTTGATTAATAATGTTAATCTTGAGCCAAATGTAGCACTTATTAATGTTCTTCACATAAACAAATTCACTTCCCAGGTGAATGTATAAAAGAATGCCTCTTAAGCAGGATACTACAATGCATTCAATACCCAAAAACTGTACCTTCACATCAATCAGCACACAGAAGAGACCAGGGAAGAAACCTGGAGGAGGTAAGCACATTAAATATGGACTAATATTCATGATTGACTTCTCCAGTTATTTTCCCAAAGGCAAGTCCAGTCCATGATATTCATTCCAGCTGGAACAGCATCCCATGCTTCTGGCACCAACCTAATCCAGCCCTTTGCAGTCAAGAATTCCATAGAATAAATTCCTGCTCATCTCTGTCTTAAATGTGCATCCCCTTACACTGACATCATGCCCTCTGGTCCTAGAATCTCCCACAGTTGGGTATGAATTGGCTGTAGAAATAGGAAGAGCTTGTAATCAGTCAGGTGTGAATTTTATGGAGTTTTGTTAACTAAAATGAGGCAGTCACTGAAAATGGACTCTGTTTGGAAACAGTTGTCTCCTAACTTATAACAGATAGTAGATATGTGGAGAATTACTATCTTCAAAGGCAGATAGCTATTGAGATGGGCAGCAAATCTAGTCTCGGGTGGTGAGTTTATCCTAATATAATTTAAAGGGGTTTAGTGTCTTAAGCTTAGCAAGGAAATCATAAAGTGGAACATTAAGCCTCCTTAAAATCTGTTAGTGATAACCCACCACCTGAGAGTAGCTTTGTTGCCTATTCCACCAGCTACCTGCTTTAAAGATCTTAACTCTCTATGTACGTGCTGTGTATGCACATTACACACTGTGTCACAAATTCTCCTCATTTATAATATAGGAACTTATAGATTACTTAGGAATTTGTGGCTTATCCATAATTACTCTTGTGAAGCTGATTTATAACTAAGTAAGGTGGTGTATGATTTGAAAGAGAATGGAAAGGTAATGATGTTGTCACGCACCTCCTCCCCATATTCTTTTACATGGTGGATGTTATGGATTTCTACTGTGTTTTCTCAGATGTTTCAGCAAGTTGTCGCATTGCATTGCGAATACACATAATGTCTGCATTGAATTTGAGTTGAAAGTTCAGGATTAGATGTTAAGGTTGAATTATATTACCCATTTAGAACAGTCTTGTTTGAAATTGAAATCAATGTTAGTTTAATCAATGCACAAAAACAAAGTTGCTCGAAAAGCTCAGCAGGTCTGGCAGCATCTGTGGAGGAGAAAACAGAGTTAACGTTTCGAGTCCGGTGACCCTTCCTCAGAACTGTTTAGAATTAGTTTAATCAATGTTGTTTAGAATTTAGTTTGGACTCCCTAGAACAAAGCTGGTTGCGAAAATGCTCACTTACAGATCAACTTGCCCAAAAACATATCTGTAAAATGGGAAAGGGGTCAGTGGAGACAGGGAGAGATACGGATGCAGATTTAACGGCCATAAGATCTAGGAATATGGGGTTTTGGTAGTTTCTGAGGAATTTAACAGCAGGACTTTTGAATTTATTGCATTGTTTTCCCAGCTGTCGAAGCTAGATTGAGACCCTGGCTGACTGTTGGTTGGAATGCGGACAGTAGGGTTATGGCATTGGTGAGGATCAGACAAGGTATCTGAATCAGACATCATGGTTGTTGGCTATCAAGGGAACAGGTCATCCACCCTGGAACCTGATATCAGTGGGGTTAGGAAGGGTGGAGATCTGTGAGGTCAGAAAGGGAATTAGGAAATGGACAAGTATCGAGTTTTAAAGAGAAAATTGCAAGTCAGATCATGAATTGACAATCAGAAAGGGAACTGGGGATCAGAGAAGGAGATAGGGGTCAGAGATGAAGTTAGAGGTCAGAGAGTGAATTGGGAATTGTGAAGGAGTTGGGGATTGGAGAGGGCAGCTAGGGAATGGAGAAGGAGTTGTGGATTAGGAATTGGATGAAGGTGAGTCAGACATCAGGGTTCCAATCACTTCAATCTCTCTACTTCACAAGTAAAACTATTTGTCAGTTTTTTTTTATCATTTTCATTTCCCTTCAACATTAGAAATCCAAGCTACAAGTACTAAAGACTGTTAAACTGAACGGACTAAGTCCCCCTAAAACGTTATTGATGGACACACCACCCGGGAGCAGGGTTTTTTGCACATCACACCAGGCACCTATTTTTGAAGATCTTAACTCCCTATGTTGCTGTTGTGTATTTATTTTACAACAGAAACGTGTAACCCATTTGATAATAATCTTGGATTTTTAAAAATGGTAAAAAAATTGCCTATGCTGACTATTTTCTCCCTGTTCACCTTTCAAACTATTGAGAAACACAAAACTGTTTAGAACAAAATAACAAAGATCATTGACAACTCCAACTGAAATTCTTTTTCACCAATAGTCAGTTAAATGATGAGTAATGTCCATGTGTAGACACCATTGGTCTGTGATTTCACTTTTAAGACAGAGGCATTAGTGCTATTATTAGCTTCTGAAATTTGCATTAAATGGCAAGGAGGATTGCATGACAGTCCCCATTGAGAGCTATACTTACAAGGAGCAGGAGACAATGTCAAAGCTCCTTCCTTGACTCTCAGTCCTTACAAACATTAGCCTACAGCTCTGCTGATTAAACACCTTCTGTAGCAAAGCTCAATGATATTTCTACATGCTTAGTGAATATCTGATGATTGATTTACAAACCACTTCCCCGCTTGTTTGTATTTGACATGTGTATATTACGAGTGATGTCAATTACACTGTAAAACTAGTTCCCAAACAGGGGCAATGCATTTGTTGAAAATCAAACACTGCAGGTCCACAATTCTCCAGGATCTTTTGATCATGGAATTGTCCCTAATAGGCCACAAAATTCCTCCAGTTGTTTAGCTGGTAAAAATGGTAATGAGTTGCGCTAATTAGGAATACCCCAGTGTATATTGTTCGTTGAATCCTACCACAGTTTAATGAGGGTGAGAGAGGTTGTTTAAAAGGTTTAAATCATGAATGTAAGCTTCATAAAGCAGCAGCATTGGTGCTTTTGAAATCTGTGGTCATTTTTATGAATGGTAGCAGTGTAGAATTGTATTGTCTTGCTTTGCCTCAATAAAAGTACTTGTATCTGAAAAACAAAAAAGAACTAGTTTTAGCTTACCTGGACCAAACAGGTAAACATTTTAATTGTTGGATCTTCTTGAATGTGATAAGACCATCATAAGACATGTTCTGTCCCATTGCTGTGATTTCCAAATTGTTCTCGCCTTTTGGCTTCAGTGCCAATTCTACAATGGTCCTTAGGATCCCTAACCTATGCAGGAGAATGCATTCTCACCAGTGTCCATTGTCTAGCAACTCAAGTTGTGCAATGCAAGTCTATGGGCATTGACTGAAAGTGCATTTCCATCATTAAGAAAAATAAGTTCATTAAAAACAAATTCAATTTGTGGATGAGCATATGCCACAATAGACTGAACAACAGGAATCATAAAATATTATTTCTTACTGCCTTGTGCATGGATAAACTATATCATGAAGCCTAACTCCGACACACACCGAGTAAACATTTTGAAATCTCTCCTCAAAATTGGTCCAAAAATAAAGACAATGTCTCGCATTTATGCGGCACTCTAATATGGAGAAAGTATTACAAGGTGTTTTAGTAAATCGGGGAAAAGGATCATGCTAAGCCAAAGAAGAAAGTAATAAAAGGGCAGTTTAAAAGCTTGGCCAAACAGGGGCCTATGAAGGAATATCTGAAAAAAGGAGAGAAATGTAAAAATTTAACAGGAAGTCCAGAAATTACAATCTAGATGGCTGAAATCAGAGATGCCAGTGCTGGAAGGAAGGGGATTTTTTCCAGGAGGAAAACAGAGATTCAAAGGGTCATACAACTGGATAATGTTACAGACAAAGGGCAGGATGAGACCACAGATGGGCTGAGGCAGGTGCTAAGGTGTCAGATGCTATAAGCATGCGAGCGATCATTGTCATGAAGAGAATGTGGGAAGAGAATTTCAACTTGGAGTAAAATAGAGTGCTGAAGGTGTGAAAAATCTTATTTCAATGCAAGACTGTGACAAGGGAAAGAACATCAATTTTGGCATAGTGATGGGTGCCAAAGATAATGTCTTCAACCTGACCACTGTTTGGAGCAAAGTGTGGCCTATTGCTGAACATGTAGGGTGAAACCACAGATACAGAGGGCTGGATGTTGCCAACATACACATTTTTCTTATTTATACCTTGAGTTGATCCTTGAGTTGTCTGGAGGTTTGTTCATTTG